ATCATCCGTGGAAGACCATTGGAATTCTCTGAAGGTAATTTTCAACGAAACGTGTTCAACGGTTTTAGGAAGAAAGAAGAAACAAGACAAGGAATGGCTCTCAACAGACACTTGGAAGCTAATAGAGGAGAGGAGAATGGTGAAAGAAAAAATGATTCAATGCAAAGATGGACAAGAGAAAGAGACGCTGAGCTCAACCTACACAGCACTGGACAAAGAAGTGAAGAAGAGTGCCAGGAAGGACAAAAGACAATTCTACGACAACCCGGCTACTGAAGCTGAGAAGGCAGCAGGCAAAAGGGACCTGAGGGCACTATATCAGATAACCAAGTCTCTATCCGGGAAGAGATCAACATAAGTGAAACCTATAAAAGACAGCCAAGGGAACCCAATTACCAAAGAAGAAAGACAGATTAAACAATGGGCGGACCACTTCAAAGGACTCTTGAACCGACCACCACCTGCAACCCGTCCAGAAATACCAACAACAGCACGTACACAACTGCAAGTTGACACCAATCCTCCAACGAAAGCTGAAGTCTTGAATGCAATCAAGCTTCTGAAAGCTGGAAAAGCAGCTGGACCAGATGGAATACCCCCGGAAGCACTGAAAGCGGACCCAGAGACGACAGCAGATATGCTGACTCCATTATTGCAAAAGGTCTGGAAAGAGGGAAAGGTGCCTACTGACTGGAGGAAAGGTTACCTCGTGAAACTACCAAAGAAGGGCGACCTAGGACTCTGCACGAACTGGCGAGGAATCATGCTCCTGTCGACGCCAAGTAAAATCCTGAGTCGCATCAACCTGGAGAGAATCAAGGACGCACTAGATACAGAACTCCGACCAGAACAACCTGGATTCAGGAAAGGCAAATCATGTTCTGACCAAATTCCAACTCTACGCATCATCATCGAACAAAGCATGGAATGACAATCAAACCTCTACCTCAACTTTATAGACTTTGAGAAGGCCTTCGACAGCGTTGATCGCGAAGTAATTTGGAAACTACTCGAGTACTACGGCGTACCCCAAATATTCATCAACCTTATTCAACAGCTGTACGACAACGGCACATGTCAAGTGATCCACAACGGAAAACTCAGCGAGGCATTGGGAGTAAACACAGGGGTCAGACAGGAGTGCTGATTATCACCAATGATATTCCTTATTGTGCTGGACTGGCATATATGTCAGACAGTGGGAAAAAAGACAGGGATATCCTGGACCGACGTGAAGAGCCTAGAAGAGATGGATTTCGCGGATGATTTATGTTTGATGTCACACAAAATCGAAGGCTTACAAACAAAAACCGACAAACTAGTCGAAGAAGCAGCAAAGACAGGACTCCAGGTGAACATAGACAAGACAGAGGTCATGAAAATAACCAACCAACAACAGCAGCAACATCCAGTGCCAATCACCATCAACGGGAGGGATTTGAAAGAGGTTACTTCTTTCACTTATCTAGGGAGCATTGTCTCAACTACAGGAGGAACGGACGAGGATGTCAAATCGAGAATCGGGAAGGCGAGAAACACATTCATCAACCTGAAACCAATCTGGAAATCTTCGTCACTCAGCATCAACAAAAAAATTCGCATTTTCAATACAAACGTCAAGTCAGTTTTGCTATACGGATCAGAAACTTGGCGGGTCACAAAGAATATTCGCAACAGGTTGCAGGCCTTTATCAACAACTGTCTTCGCTCCATGCTGAAGACCAGATGGCCAGAAAGAATCACCAACAAGGAACTATGGGAACACACAAAACAAGAAACAATCGCCCAACAAGTATGCAGGAGAAAGTGGAGATGGATTGGACACTCGCTGAGGAGGCCGTTGGGTGACATCGCGCGTCAGGCCAAGCTCGAGTGGAACCCGAAAGGGAAGCGGCGAGTGGGACGTGCAAGGGTGACATGGAGGAGATCGTGTGAAGAGGAGTTGAAACAGCATGGACTAACATGGATGCAAGTGAAAAGTACAGCAGAAGACAGAAGCAAGTGGAGGCGTGAAGTTGAAGCCCTATGTTCCACTAGGAACCCAAGGGAACAATAATACAATAATAAAGTTCAACTAACTAATGATAAAGTATGCCGGATTTCAATATCATGAATTCTGTCTACAAGCAGTGATTTCGTTTGCCCATGAATGGTGAGCAAATTTGTTGTTATAACTTGAAGCTATACTGAATGATAATGGTATCACATATAATTAACATGTAGTACCATTACTAATATGAAAGTGCAACCAAATATCGGATATTTACAAAACAAATATGATCAAACACGCCCTCGAAGTTGAACCAGCTTCAACCGAAATAAAGAAAACTATGTGATTGTTTTTTCAAACTGATGTAATAGTTGTATTAATGGTAAAAAAGCTTCGTTTCAACTGAATAAACTGAATAAAATAAACACAGTTTAAACCTCCTAATAACCCTAAGTGGGATCCACTAACCATGGACATTTTGTATTGGACAATAAGGCCAGTCGTCCTATTCGGTAAGGGCTAGTTAAATAATTCGATAACCTAAACCCCAGTAGATGTAGTAAGTTTTAGAACTAATAATTCACCTGTTAACAGATGAGTACTAACACTGACAGTTTGCAAGATCGCCAAATATTGTTGAGGAACCATGTTACTGTTCAGCCACTAGGCAAAACTTCTGTAATCTACATCTGCTGAATTATGCTTATCGACTTATAAACAGTGGAGGGAAAAGCTAGTGAAAAATAACCAACTTCAATGATAGATCATAAATTATTGAGACTAATGTATGTATTATGACTGTTAACTTTGTATTTCACCTCACTATACTATATCAACAGAACATTAGACCCAATTATCCATAACATGCTTAAGTTTCCAAACTGAATCGACAATACTGTTTGAAACAAACTCACTGTTATTAGTATTTATTATTATTATTATTATTATTATTATTATTATTATTATATCTAATAATTATGTCGTTAATGTGGACAAATTCCTCCGATTAATTTTTGTTTTAATTTTAAATTTTATATACACTTTGAGTAAATCAGATGCAATATTGTGACAAATGCTGAGAATTCCATTCTGTATTATAAGTACTGTTTTTGGAATAAAGTAAATTATTATTATTATTATTATTATAATCTGGGATTCACTGAGTGCAAGTCGAATGCTCTAGACAATAACCCACATCTGGAGGCATAAAATATGTAAATCAAAGAGAAAGAGAAAGAATAAATATATGCAGGTGAATGAAATGTTTACAGTTTTGAAAATGACAAGAAACAATATATCTGTAATATTGTGGTAAGTTTTAATTCATATTGTCATGATTTCTAGTAATTATCGCCCTCCCCCTATTTCGAGTATCCCCCAACACGATTTATGTCGACAGTCATAAACTTAATATATTAGAGCTAAATCTTGATCTAATCATCTACCACCAGCAATGATGTTACCCTAATAGCAGCAAAGTTTCTACTAAACCGAAATTTTGCTAGGTTATTTTCAAGAGATCTGCACACTGAAGACAAGACGTTATGTAGATTACAGACAGAAGAATTTGCACATCACAATTGTAACATATTCACCAAAAGACCTTACAATCAACAACTAGATACTTGTTGGATTTATGGAATGGTATCGGTAAACAGGCTAAAGTGAAAGAAAAGATATTCACAGTGCTTCTAGACTTTCGATGTTTGCTATATCGATGCTAATGAATGATGCAGAGATCAGTTAATATATGCGTCAAAAGTGAAGTTTTTACCAAGCATACTTATTTATGAGGAACACTCATCAACATGTACGGTTGAAATGTCAAATGAGCAATGTTTTAAATGTACACTGGATTTGAAAAGAATTTGAAGAAAAGGTTAGTAACTAGCATAATCTCTAATAATACCATTATCAGAGAACAGAGAATATTGAAATAAAGGTTAGTAAAAGCACTCAAAGCTTTGGTGATGTACAGTAAATACATAGGGGTCATCACGAAGTACTCCAACTACTGGTTCTCAACATTTCAATGGCTGTATTAACCAGACCACTCATGACTTTGCTGACGAGCTTTCTTTTGACCACCTTTAGCTATTTTTTAAGCTGACTACCTTTTATAAAGACTAAATGACGAGACAGAGATAATCGATTCAATTCCCACATTTAGTTACGACTTTATATGTTTACTCGAGTGTACTGACCTTTTTCAGTGGAAAAATGAATGACATCTAACGAACACGCAGGCGTTTCGATTAACAATGTCAGTGCTAACTGTTATTTTCAGCAAAAAAGACATTGGTGGTAGCTTAATCAGCGCACTTATTCTTTCCAATACGTTGACCCACTTAATACCGGTAAATACCGATTAATAAGATGGATTATTTAAAAGGTATATAAATATAAGGTCCCAATAAGCAGAGCTTTCTGTCGGTTGCATTCAATCCCCTAAAACCAATCCAAAATCCAACACGTTAGATATTTGGCTCATTGCTGAATACAGTAAAAACTTGATAGATGGGATTCGTTCATCCCTATGAACTAAAACTTACGATAATGCTTACTCTCCAATAACTCATTAACGTATATAAAACAATCCTACAGAAGATCCATCAGGACCGAAATAGCATAGTGGTAACGCCTTTAACTGCGACACCAACTGATCGGAATTCCAATATTTAGGACAAACCAGTTTTTCAGAGGTTGAAGATGCGTCCCACTGGCAAACATTAAGGAGTACAAAATTTATGCAACACACAATGTTTCGGTCATTACCGTTAACCTTTGGAGAAATAATGAATAGTGTACAGATGATTGTACTCCGAGGGTAAACATAGATGGTCACCATTTACCGTTCTAAGTGGCACTGAGCCTCTTCCAGGTATTCTTTACTGCTGCACATTAATGCATACGCTCAACTAGTCGGAGCATGAAGTCAAATTTTACACAAACTCTGAGCTTTCGAATTAAAGTCAAAAAATCGAAAATATATAAACATCTGGTAACTTACTTTTCAGAGCTTCTATGATGCATTGTATTAGTGGAACCACCGACAGCATAAATCATATCATCGACTACGCCAACTGCAACTCTGTTACGGGGAACTGACATAGGAGCACAAGTAGTCCAACAGTTTTTTCTTGGGTCGTAGCAATCCATATGAGGTGCATCGATATTACCTTGTTCATTATTATTTCTTCCTCCAACAAGATACACACAACCGCGTACAGAACATGCGGATAGACCACTACGTGGACTAGGAATATCTGGTAGACGTCGCCATTTAGCTGTGACCGGATTATAACATTCAAATGCACTCAATGAATATCGTAAATAACCACCAGCTGAATAAAGGATCTGAAATAAAAATGTTATACCCTTAACTTAAACTCAGACAAAAAATGAAGAAAAAAATACTGTAATTCAGTGATCATATGCACAATCATCGACTAGACTGCCAACCAATAGTTGTGTGGAATGGACGATTAAATAGTTGAAAATTTAATATGTAGATGGGAAAGTTAGACTTTCCTTAACTCTAATTGAGCTTGATTTGTTTCCGTCAAATGTTCTAACGCACCAGTATTCCCATGCTGCCTGTAAACACAAAAATGCTTGTCACCAGGATATTGAAGTCTGCCACTAGTTTGTTTTTCACTATTCTTTTCTTTTTTTCTGACTGGGAGTACTATTTAACGATTCTTTCTCTAAATATTCCTAATGAAAGCTAACCTGTTAGTACTAGCCTTTAACGGAATCATCAAATGACCGATGTATGCGTTAAGCGTAGGTAAAACAAACAAGTACATTTTGAACTTTCAGTATCTGAAGTTTAAATGTTGATGTGCATTCCCATCTTCCAGATCCCAGCAACGTGATATGTTAGGTGGGAGTAGAATCAGGTTATAAAAAAGTAGTGACTATACCAAGATATGTCAATAATTTATTGTTTGACTTGCGTAGATCGCTCGGATAAGTTTCTTGTGTCAAACACAATCTACTATTGGAGATTTTAATTGATATAGCTGAGAATCGATTATACTGATGCAGGTGGATGCACACTATACAGTAACTTTAATCATAAGAACATATTAGTTTACTTGTCTCGTCTTTTCTTTCATTTTTTCAAAGCATTTTGAGGCGTCTAACTGCATGACTTTCGTTTCCTTGTTATTCATTTATTACCACCCTTACATTTAGCCAGTTTGATTAACATGAAACGATGTTAGATATCATAATAATGATTTTTATACTATCGGTCCTATTTGCTTTCTTTCAATTACATTACAACTGCGACGAATTTACACAGCCGAAACTTTCCCAGTTTTTAATAGCATATTTTATAAACATTTTATAAATCAGACGAAACTCTTTGAGTATTCATTTAAACCACATCAGTCGTGACCAGTAGGGTGCAGCAGGTCGGGTGTGAGGACAAATACTCGCCGAAGACATTGGCTAGGGGTCGCGCTATGTCGTGAATTGGCAGAAGTTAGAATTCATGGACCATTGGATCGGGTCCCAGTGGCTTAATGGTATACGAGCTAGCTCGCCTTGTAACCAGAAGGTCCTGGGTTCGAATCCCGGTGGGTGCGTACTGCTGAAGAGTCCCAAACTAGGACGAAACAGCTATCCAGTACTCCCAGGTTTTCCAATGGTTCTCTAACTAATGTCAGCTCATGATGAAATCCTGTAAACCAGACATTGTTAACCAGAGTCCTTATTGTCCAAATCATAATGAAACCAAACATATATTTGCACTATAGCTTATAGTAACTCTTCTCAGACTTCTGCGCCTTCAATGATTTGGTGATTGGTGGCAGTGTGTTCAAACACAGGGATATACACAAGGCGACATGGATTTCACCAGATGGACACACCAAAAACCAGATAGACTTCATTTCAATCTCAAGGAAGTGGAGACGGAGCCTACTGGACACAAGATCGAGGAGAGGAGCAGATGTGGGTTCAGACCACTATCTAGTACAAAGGACTTTCAAGGTGAAGCTGAAAGCCCCAGGATACCTGGGGATAGGCCACAATGCAAGTTCAACACTCACAAACTGAAGGACACAATCACACAGGACATTTTCACTGCAACTGTCAGAGCAAAGCAGGAAACACTACGTGGCACCACTGAGGAATCATCCGTGGAAGACCATTGGAACTCTCTGAAGGTAATTTTCAACGAAACGTGTTCAACGGTTTTAGGAAGAAAGAAGAAACAAGACAACGAATGGCTCTCAACAGACACTTGGAAACTAATAGAGGAGAGGAGAAAGGTGAAAGAAAAAATGATTCAATGCAAAGATGGACAAGAGAAAGAGACACTGAACTCAACTTACACAGCACTGGACAAAGAAGTGAAGAGGAGTGCCAGGAAGGACAAAAGACAATTCTATGACAATCTGGCTACTGAAGCTGAGAAGGCAGCAGGCAAAAGGGACCTGAGGGCACTATATCAGATAACCAAGTCTCTATCCGGGAAGAGATCAACATAAGTGAAACCTATAAAAGACAGCCAAGGGAACCCAATTACCAAAGAAGAAAGACAGATTGAACAATGGGCGGACCACTTCAAAGGACTCTTGAACCGACCACCACCTGCAACCCGTCTAGAAATACCAACAACAGCACGTACACAACTGCAAGTTGACACCAATCCTCCAACGAAAGCTGAAGTCATGAATGCAATCAAGCTTCTGAAAGCTGGAAAAGCAGCTGGACCAGATGGAATACCCCCGGAAGCACTGAAAGCGGACCCAGAAACGACAGAAGATATGCTGACTCCATTATTGCAAAAGATCTGGAAAGAGGGAAAGGTGCCTACTGACTGGAGGAAAGGTTACCTCGTGAAACTACCAAAGAAGGGCGACCTGGGACTCTGCAAGAACTGGCGAGGAATCATGCTCCTGTCGACGCCAAGTAAAATCCTGAGTCGCATCATCCTGGAGAGAATCAAGGACGCGCTGGATACAGAACTCCACCAGAACAACTGGATTCAGGAAAGGCAAATCATGTTCTGACCAAATTGCAACTCTACGCATTATCATCGAACAAAGCATGGAATGGCAATCAAATCTCTACCTCAACTTTATAGACTTTGAGAAGGCCTTCGACAGCGTTGATCGCGAAGTAATTTGGAAACTACTCGAGTACTACGGCGTACCCCAAATATTCATCAACCTTATTCAACAACTGTACGACAACGGCACATGTCAAGTGATCCACAACGGAAAACTCAGCGAAGCGTTTGGAGTAAACACAGGAGTCAGACAAGGGTGCTTATTATCACCAATGATATTCCTAATTGTGGTGGACTGGATTATGCGTCAGAGACAGTGGGAAACGAGAAGACAGGGATATCCTGGACCGACGTGAAGAACCTAGAAGACCTGGATTTCGCGGATGATTTATGTTTGATGTCACAAAAAATCGAAGACTTACAAGCAAAAACCGACAAACTGGTCGAAGAAGCAGCAAAGACAGGACTCCAGGTGAACATAGACAAGACAGAGGTCATGAAAATAAGAGGTTACTTCATTCACTTATCTGAGGAGCATTGTCTCAACTACAGGAGGAACGGACGAGGATGTCAAATCGAGAATCGGGAAGGCGAGAAACACATTCATCAACCTGAAACCAATCTGGAAATCTTCGTCACTCACCATCAACAACAAAATTCGGATTTTCAATACAAACGTGAAGTCAATTTTGCTTTACGGATCAGAAACTTGGCGAGTGACCAAGAATATTTTCAACAGGTTGCAGACTTTTATCAACAACTGTCTTCGCTCCATACTGAAGATTAGATGGCCGGAAAGAATCACAAATAAGAAGCTATGTGAACAAACGAAACAGGAACCAATCGCCCAACAAATATGCAGGAGGAAGTGGAGATGGATTGGACACTCGCTGAGGAGACCGTTGAGTGACATCGCGCGTCAGGCCAAAGCTCGAGTGGAACCCGAAAGGGAAGCGGCGAGTGGGACGTCCAAGGGTGACATGGAGGAGATCGTGTGAGGAGGAAATGAAACAGTATGGAATAACATGGACGCAAGTGAAAAGTACAGCACAAGACAGAAGCAAGTGGAGACGTGCAGTTGAAGCCCTATGTTCCACTAGGAACCCAAGGGAACAATAATAATAGCTTATAGTAGTCACAAATCCCTTTATACTTTATACCAGAATTCAGAATACCTACATGAATGATCTCGTATAAAATTAGGAAGCTGCAACTTAGACATTGAGCACAACTAGCCACGGCTATACAAATCGACTCAGTAACTGCATATCTTTTATTTACGGCTAAAGATATTACATTCACTGAACTGATATGATATACAAATTCATAATAAAGATTAGGAACGTAGTAAAACCCTGAATGTCAATGTAGAATTATGCTAGGAGTTTAGCATTTGTTTTCTAACAAAATACATTTTGCCGAGAAATGTACCAGAATTTACATTGAATATGATCAATCTTCATGATTAGTGGGAAAACAAAACATGTTCGATTTCAACATAAGATTTAATAATTGAGGATTTAAAGCTCTGAATGGATTAATTGTTAAGAAGATGCAAACAAAAAGAATAAACTTGTGTTAGCTGTTTTCTTAACTCTCAGTGAAAGGTGTTCTTATGAAAAAAAGGGTTACGTGGCATACACAACCAACAGCTTACAATAACAATCAGCATAAGTCATCAAATATTCATCAGCAAGGATTGAGTTACTGAGCTACTTAGATAGAAGTTCAGAACTTATTGCTAGTAAAGATGTGAATCACGTGAAAAATTCATTTCAAGGTTGTCTGGATTTATACATTTTTAGAGAAGTGGGCGTTATCGAAAAACGATAAGGTTACAGCTAAAGGTAATGACTCTTTTGGTAAAATATGTGCACTGCTAAAGTGGTTTTGGAGAAAAAATCACCTGTTGGGTCTAGTAAATCTCTATTTAACCTTTATTTTTATATCTAGAGTTAGACCTTGTTTCGGTGAATTATCAAAGAAACACTAAAAGTAGCAACAATAAATGTGTTGCATCTAGATTTGTGGGATATTCTTACTACATCATTGACTGTTGTGACCATCCAGAGTATATGTGCAGTACTCACTCCATATTGTGTACATAAGTAGTTTTCTTCATTGTTTCGACTATTTATGCTGTTTTCTTACACCGAAATTCAAAAGAGTGCTTATCTGTATTTAAATAACATTCCGATAATTTTACTGCACTACATGCCAAAGCTAAATGTTTAAAGGTTTCAGCATTGATCTGAGTGACTTCTTTCGTGAACTTAGACGATGAATCAACGGTGAAATATTCTACTTCCTTACTTACAAAAGCACTTATGGATGAATAGGATCATGAAGTCATTGTTCATTGAGATCTTACTTACTGATAGACTAGTTCGCAGATATCTTGTTCCCTCGGTTCTTGATTATTTTAAGTTTATCCATGGCTCGTGAATTGGTGACGTTATCGGTTGTATAACCATTAGTTTGCATTGGAACTGAGTGTTTCTCCTAGAAGTACTCTTCAACCTGTATCCTTGGTGTGGATGAATCATCGTATTTTTTAGAATCGATGAATTCTCTGTGCTTCAGAAATGAAACAAATAGGAATTCATCAATCAAAGGAGTGGGGAGTCGATCACATTCAAAAACAAAAGTTTAACATCGACTCAGGAAAATTCCACTCAAACAAGTGACAGAGTTTCAACGTTCAAGAGCCAAAAGTATACGATGAAACTAATTTGACTTCTTCGTAAAATACACCTGAGTGATCGATACAAGTTTAGCCGTTACTTGGGAAGTGAATAGTGTTCAGTATAACTCATTTACTACTTCAAAAATCTTTACCTTTGAACAAATTTGTACTAAACAACAATCACACACTACAGAAATAAAACACGGACGTCAAATGAAGACTGGTGCAGACATTTGAATAGGACACTACAGGAATTAGAAGAAATAGTCTAGAAAATATCAATCTGAATAAAGTATGTATGAAAACTAAGTGCGGTCTATCTATAGTGAAAGGAAAGTGGATAGCCCAGCACTTATCGGTCTTCCTAATAGTTACAAATAAGCTGTTGGTCTTCCAATGATGTTAACAAATTTTTTCACCATTAGACAACATATCCACGAAATAAACAATTGACCCGTTTTATCCGGCACTATGTGTTGTCACTGCTTTGTTCATATTCGTTAAGGAGTTCGTGTATAAATTATCAATAATAGTTTCACGCAGAAGCTAGTCATTTTTATAAGATGCTTCTATATTAGCATTTCGTTCATACTCAGGTAAGAGATTTTTTTTACCACACAAACATCTTTTATCTGTAATTCTACTGAACCATGTTAAGTGCAATTAAACATCGGACTCTGTTGCTATGACTACACTTGATTACTTTCATTTCATTAAAGTAACTATTTTCTTTTAGGTAGAGTATAGATTTCATTTATTTCCCCATATTTGTTGGTTAAAGTTTCGTTTCGTAAGAATTGATGCTTTGGATTTTACAAGCTCTAAAATAACAAAGTTCTTCCAATCACAGTTGTCATTTTAATAACTTAAATGCATTGATACTGAGGATGAGAGTGCATATCGTCCTAGTACCGGCTGATTGTCATAAGTTCTTTAGATAAAACAATAGCTGTACTGACTAATTTTATTTATTTTTTATTTTGATTTACAGCTTGATTCCACACCGTATTTTCAGTACAAGTATGGAATTTTCAGCATGGATATCGGTAGCCCAAATTCAGGCCGACCATAGATATCGGGTGTGCGCCGGCAGGGGATCGAACCCCGGACCATGTGCATGGTCGGCGAGAGTCCTAACCACTGTGCCACCGACTAATGTAGTTTAATAGACAGTCGTAAGTGATAATAAAAAAATATTAAGAATTATTTTTCTTATATGCCGTTTAAGCATTATGTTTTAATTTGTACACTGTGTTCTGAATTAATTTTATTGGTTTTTTTTCTGTCAGTCATACCCAAAAATAAATAAATAAAATAACTGGATGATAGTTTCTAAAAAATCCCATATGTAGAAGTAAGTTCTCTATAAAATGTCTTGGTATTATGTAAGTTTCTAGAAGTTTACTGGCAGAAACGACTCATGAGATTTCCCTTGTACTCAAGACAGAGATTTTATGCATAAGAAGTTGCAGATAATTTGAAGGAGAACGAGAAAATTTATATAATTGTCACAATAAAGAAAAATAGTTAATAACGTACTTCCATTGAGCCAGCAGTCCGTTTATTGACAGAAATATAACGGTGTTCAATAAGGTCATTCAGGATATTTTGCAAATGAGATTTTGCTGGAGTGAAACCTGCCAAAAGATTGCAATTTTTTATTTGTCCTTGTATAAATGCTGGAGGAAGTGTATAGCATCTGACAGCGGATAACGCTTCGAGCAATACAGGTAATCTAGAAGCTCTATTGTGATTTATCCATCGAATCACCGCGTTGTACACCTCAGCTTCAGTCCGTACATTTAATTCATCACGTTTAATCAGAGCTAAAAGTTGGTTGGAATTTAAACCTAAAAATTCGTCATGTTTAACAATTTCCCCAAAATTTTGATCAATAAATTTTTGAGCAATAAATGATAAATCTGAACAATTATTTGAATATGCAAATTCTTGTATGCCAATAGCATTCGATGGATGTAACTGATGCTTCAAAAAACTACAGCATGCCTGTACAACATGGGACATTTGAATCATAGATGCAGCAATAAGTAATTCACAAACATTACGTTCACTAATCTGTATTCTACCAGTATACGCAAAATCTATCAATTTTTTTAAAGCGGTTGAAGATATGTAGTGAAGTTTTATTACAGGTAGAAGTGATTCACGCATTTCACTAGTGAACATAGCTCTGAAATATGGTGATGCACCAGCTAAAACAATTCTATGACACTGAATTGATTCTGAATTTACACACAAAGTGACATCTGTTAATTTTTGAGATTGAAATAATTCATACATAGCATTCATTACTTCTTTAAGATAATGGTTCAGTTCGAAATCCATACAAATTAAATTATCATTTGATTCATCTGATGGACATGTAGGTAAAATGTATGTAGGATGTGGGATGTATAATTCGGAATTATTTAAATCACTAAATGACGAAGTTAAGTTAGGATTCATTGATGTAGAAAGTTCATCCATTGGAAAATCTTCAACATTCTCCTTCATGATCATTTTGACTGATGAATGATAAAATAATTCATTCACAAGATTGACATCTACAAACAAATGAATAAAACGTATAATTTAGTTAAAAATTTAATTACAAATAATAGGGATTAAACATTTGTATGTAATGCCATCAGACAGTATTGGGACACAAACTGATGTTCGAAAAGAAAAACAATATAAAATTAATATTTCCGATTACACAGATGAGATTAAATTAGAGAGAAAAGATAAAAAGATAGAAAGCAGACTATAGTGAGTGTATACTCAAAAGAGAGCTACCTCAAACATTTTCGTGCTTAGTTAAGAAAACCATTCAATAATTTCAACAATTTTGTAAGTGAAAATAAAAAAAACAAAGTAAGATGTCGCTGAATACTTATTGATCTACTGAAGTAGCTACAGTTCACATCTTCATATTAGACTGAAGTCAAAATGAGGATTCACAAAGTGAATACTCGAAAATGCAGTAAAAAATAAGTTATGGAGGTAAAAAGAGTACCATAACGGTTGGTGAACTAAAGTTGTTCACGCATTGACTGTTTAAAGTCTTCACTGCATTTAGAGACAGAAAATGCATAAAAAATGTTTCGATTCCTACTCATACATGATAATGAACTTTAACATTATCCAAGAAGTTGGACAAAACAGATGTTAGCCCCAGCTCGACTACCCTTCCCACACGGCAATCTGCCGAAGAGGTGCATTGATTTTCGTGATATCTTTTAAATTATATATTCACGTAACTAAAACTGTTGTTTGAAGATAAGTTTACCGATCGAAATGTTGTCTGTATTCCTGTGAGAATACGTAGGATATATTCCCATCGTAGAATAAATTTACTTGATAAAATTGAACAGCAATACACTATTAATTACTGATGACGTTTAGGACAATTTATTGTTCATAATGATATGATTATAAGCAATAAATTTTGCTCTCAACCTCATCAGTAATACTAAAACAATATTTGGTCTTATCATATAAATCCACTTAATGATGGAAGCTATTGGCCTTCTTGACCCCCCCCCCAAAAAAAAAAACGCTACAATGACCCAATTACTCACATATTATTGCTAATGGAGATGAGCAGTTTTGCGAAGACAGTAGTAATCAAACAAACAGTTGTATATTGTTAACACAAAACAGCCAACCCGTCAGTGTTGTTAATTGCATGTAATATGGCAAGACTAGTTTCTCGACGAAGTCAAACCAATAAGCCTATGCATTTAGATGAAAATCGATATGGATCTGATGTCACGTTGACTGACGCTCGACTACAGCTAGAGAATCCATAATACTCAACACAATGGACTCATCTGACATCTTGTCCTGTGAACGAGTATCATTTTGCTAAGAATCCTAGAAAACTCAGACAAGCATAAAGGGATGAAATGCATATATATGCAGCTTGATGAGGTCATGATACCTGGCCATGATTTGTTCGTCAAGTGTGATATACCATCGCATACAATTCACAAGGACAAACTGAAACTACTCATCGGATGTATTGTACTAGAAGGTTATCAGAGACACGAAAGCAGAGGATACCTTATGCAACGACGACACTGCCTAGTTGGACAGTGAGAGGTGCCAGATTGAGAGCATTCGTAATGTGGCTTGGCAAAAGAGGTAATACAGAGGTAGAAACTACGATTCGTGGTGTGAATGACAAAGAGCCTTACACCAAGGTTTATCAAAGATGAAAGAGCAGTTAAACTGACCGAAGGTTCTCGTGTGTACAAAGATGAACAATTCATCATGGGCTTTAGATTTACGTAGTTATCATCATTCATTGCTTAAGAGCTGTGCTCAAAGATTTCGAAAATGGGAAGGAAGAAAGCGTATTACTGTTACACCATACAGACCACTCAAGATTTGCAGCCTTTATCGCAAAATACCCTATTATACTAGTTTGCATTTCAACGCAAATGTAGATAAGTTAGTAAATATATCATTTTCGAAAACACTATATGAGCTATTTTTAAATTCAAGTAAAACCGAAGGCATTACTTAAAGATAGAAACCGTAAAGAAATTTATCCTATCGAAATTGAAGAATATTTCTGAAGTAACACTTAGTATACTGAGAACATTCGGAGTAAATATCACACGTATAACCACCACAATCACTTTAATCACTACTATGCAAAGTAAAGGACCCAACAGCAAAAAAAGACTGGGTTCATATCATCTACAAAATAAATTGCATCAATTGAGAAAAGTGGACATCCACTTCGACTTCTCATCCAAGAACAGAAACTGGCCGTTAAAAGGCATGATATGTATTCCATCATTTTAATACATGCACAACTATGGACATCTGTCTGACTGAGAAAATGACAAAAATTTCCGACAAACGAAATATAAAAGTGTCCAGGAATTCCTGGTACTCAGGTAAGTCTTCACTCAACAACCATATCACTAAGTCAAATAAAGAAACCAATAAGTAACAAGTCACATGTCGAAAATGTTCAGAAAGTCCAAAGTTCAACTACTGATACCAACACAGATAAGTGCAAGAATAATGAAATCTCTGAAGACAAACAATCACAGACATGATCGCCAAGAGAGGCAGTGCATTAGTTATGGAGTATCCGGAAGATCAACTCACATTGAAGCGCTACATACGCTACTGAAAAGGAAAACGAGCTTTTCTACTGAATAGCTCAGCTCGTAGAACGCAGATACATGAAAAATCCATTTAAGCTACAGATCTTATACACTATTCAAGTGGATATAGACGGCACCTCTTTAACAGTTGTTTCCCACAGTAAACAAATTAAGACTGATGATGATACATCTGAGACCTAATTTTTCCCTAACCAAACTATTACTCAGTATGCTTCGGAATAAGATGAGTCACAGAGGGATTTGAAGAGTTTCATTTTCATTCTTAGACTCGCACTCAAGATACGCAAACGAACTAAGGGGAAAGCGAGTTGCGACCCATGGTCAGATATGATAGTGAAATGAACAGGAAGTACAAATGCGTGAAATGCAAACATGATCCTTGTTTATGAGCCACTAAGATGTCAGCAAACAAATAATCATTCTGCTATTGTACTTCTTCAGACAGTTTCATTCACTCTACCTGGCTAATAAGTTTCAATATGCAATCTACATGTGAGCAAGCTGTTGACATGTCTAGACTTGAATACGGAACGATGTGAAGACGAATCTCTGTTAGAAGTAGGGTAACCTTCAGAAGTCAATATGGATACCTAAAGTGGTGTAATTACATATTTAAAAAAGTTTGTGGGTGAGGTAAAGTTGTGGTAATTGTAATTGGAAAATGGCCCCTCATAAACTAACAGAGCTGAGCAAAAGTATCTGCTTTTTCCGAACAGATTTGAGAAGCAAACACACGTATTAATGGGATCATTTGCATTTCAAAGCTGTCTAACAATTTTGTTTACCATGCTCTAGGCAAAAAATTCATTTCGTAATTTAAATAGGATCTAATCAACTACAGAACAAAAATGCATTGACTACGTTCAAAGATAGTAGTTCTGAGTTCTTCGAAAAAAACAGAAACTCACCCAGTGAGAAATTCGAAACATCAAATCAAGACTCAAAAACCAAACTCAGCGCTGTTACTTCTACAACCTATCTAAGGTTATTAAACCACCCCACAAAATATTTAAACAAATGTTCATATTCAAACAGCAAGAAAGGAAACTTTCGACTGTGTTATTGTGTGACAAAAGAAAGTATACGAAAGAAATGAAGATTGTTTTCCTGAAAGTAACTTCGAATAACAGATAAAGATAAGTGTGTAGCGGTAGATAATTCTCCGAAATTATTAGCCTACAGCATTCATCACTTGGCATTTAACGCTGCCCTTAACTGTTCAAGTCGGCCTGTGTGGTTTCGCATCTACTCTCTATAGCATACCATATTGTTACGTTCGGTATTTCATGCACGATCCCTAGCTAGTTGAGTACAGAATGATTCTGATCCTGAAATATACTTCAAATTTCGGACGGCGAATTTGTTGTTTTGGTTTGCTTTTCGTACGGGAAGAATGTATACTGAAAGAGTTGGAGGGCATAATAATTCACGTTGGTATGCAAAATACTTTCTGTAAATCTCACCACGAGAATGTTGATAGGATTTACAGTGGCTCTATTGAATATCCCCGATAATTGTAGCATTGTATTCCGTTGCTATGTTGGCTGAGTGACAAATTACGCTTTTTATATCCTATTTAAGTGAAGTTTCGGGTAAGAAAATTTTTCTGACGTACATGATGTTCGTGGCATATTGTTTTTTATTGCGTTACATTTGCTGAACTTGCATCAGGAAATCTCGCCATGTCCAAGTTAGTCGGCAATGTTGGATTGCAGTTCCATATCCGTTCGTTTACACATTGGTTTTTACGCTTATCCTACAGTTATTCACAACTTATCTTGATGCGCATTGTTCACAAATGTTGCGTTTCACCTCATTTTTTTCCGTTACTGTTAAAATTATTTATTTTGTTGGTTTCGAAAGTTTCTACTACCAGGTCAGTGCATTCATTTCATTTTAACTGTTTAATACGTTTCATTCATGCATGGTTTCAAGGTTTTAGTTGTTTTTCAGCTACCAATAAATTCGTACTGTGTAGAGGTTTGGGAAATTATGCACATAAATATGTTTTGGTGGCAGAAGCCATTGTTTCCAGTTCATTCGTTGGTTACCGTTATTGTTACCCAAGCCTACTATAATCATGAATCAAATCGCACTAATTCTGAGACGATACCAACATTCTATAGTGAGTATATTCTGGATCTGTTCCTAAATGGATCCTTTAATGGCACACACTGGAACTCAGTGCTGGTTTTCAGCATGACTGGCACTAATCCAGCACTGTATTCTTTTTCTAGATCAGAATACACTGTGTTTGATTATCAGCGTTGTTCCAGCCCTCACAGGACACATTAAGCGCGGAATAACATCACTTCAGAACGAAAAGACTTAACTCAGCACCTAGTTCTACTTTTAAGAACGACCAGAGTTATTTCAGAATACAGTGGGTAGAAAAAAATTCATTTCCAACAAAAGGCGTCTACACATTGGGTCATAGAAGTTATTAAAAAGACAATTGCTGTGAAGAAAATTTTCTTTTCGACGAAGTCATCATCTAGGCTGAACATTCGTGTATTTATATCAAATAGATGGGAAAGTTCCAGAATAATTTCCGGTTAAGGGTCAAATAAATAAAAATTACAGTTAGGAACTAGAATGCCATAATAAACAGGGGGCGGATAAAACTCGAACAAAGTAGCATTGTAATAACTAAGAAGAGTGACGTTGTGCAATTGGGGCTTAGAAATGTAAAAATAACAAAATATACAGGATTGTAGTGGACTTATGTTAGAGTTCACTAGTATTACAAATTATGAGAAATAAAATTCAAGTCAATGGAATGTTAAGTAACAGTATATTACCAAAAATGCAACGACACGTTATATCAACAAAAGGCCTACTTGGAAATGAAGTTTAAGTCCTCTGCCACAAATTATTTATATAACCGACGGAGACGATAGTTGTTTGGACGGAGTTGGTTGTAGCTGCTGTGTCCCGGTTGTATAATTCTCTTCGGTTGAGCGTAGTGGACTCCTACAATAAATCCGAAAGATACAACACGGTGAGAGCTGAGCTAGTAAGCCGAAGAAACCAAGGAGAAGACGAAGTCTCCAACAGCAGAGTGTATTTTCCAATCGTACACCGAAGCCAAGGGTATTTCAACCAGAAGCGTTTTAAACAAAAATTATGTACAATATGTCTAATTTCTACAAATAACCAAAAAGTGTACAATCACACTGTTACGCACTCCACAGGATGTTTGGATAAAAAACTAGTGTGATGAATAATTGTTTATGCAATCAGGGATTAAATATGTAGAAATAGTAAGATGACAAAATAAACAGGAAGTGTGGATATGAAAATATGGTAGTGTAGACAGGGATTAAGAAAACTTAAAATAACATGAATAAACAGGAAGCTTAGATAAGAAGGGCGATGAGATTGTCATTACTAAAAAATTTACCTGTTTATGATGGCCATGGCAGGGACAGGGGTTGGACGTATTTCTTTTGGATACAAAGAGTGGGTTTGAGTTTTCGGATAGCTAACGCCTCAGCTATGCCCAAATGTCTTGATTTCACTCCCTTTGATAGGTTTGATTGAATCTTGTATATTACTTTGAAGGATTTTTCGAAAGGCGCTGAATGTCCTGAGTTGACCAGATGTTCTGTCACTGGACTGCATACACGTTTTTGGTCTCCTTTTACTAGATAGGCTGGGTAGTGTTCGTGAGCGCGTTTTCCAAGTCGGCACATGGTACGGCCGATGTACTCAGCTCCACAAGAGCAAGTAAACTGGTATATGCACGTTGAGGTGGCTCAATGCGACAGCTTGTCTTTCACGTTCTGGCTGAACAGTTTCTTGCAAGAAAACGTCAGTCGTAGGCTCGCGGCGAAGTATGTTTTCCTAAGAGATTTCCAGAGGCGTTTGCGAAGGATTTCTGCTTCAATATCACCTTCGAATTCTAGATGAAGCAGAAGTATTTTCTTTGGAACGGATTGGACTTATTCTGAAGTCTTCTTAGATTTGAAATTTTTGTCTATGAACCTGGGTGGGAAACCGTTTTCCATATGGGTTTTTCGGAGATTACGCAGTTCTTCTTCAATCACTTCCTTGCTGCATATCTTCCGAATCCTCGAGGAAATAGCGTGTATCAGGTTCCTCTTTCTGCTTAGTGGTACGAAGCTTTGAAAGTTGATGAATTGTCCATTCCATGTAGGCTTTCTGTATATGGACATTTTCAAAGAGTTGTTGTCATTTCTTGTCAGATGGACGTCAAGGAAGTGGAACATTCCGTCGGATTCAGTCTTAAGTGTAAAGTCGATGTTTGGGTGGGCGTTATTGAAGATTTAAAGTAGGTTTTCTAAATCACAATTCTCATCACAAATAATATATATTTATTATTGTTTATGCAGGAGCATATCAATTGTACAGACATGGATAAATTATTATATGAATTACACATATTTCGATGTATGGTAAATTCACAGATTGTTTCTTCTTTCTGACATTAGAGTCAGTCGGAACCGTCTGCTAAATAGTCTGTCTGTGTAACACACCAAGAGATATAGAAATATTGTCTTCGCATTAACGAAAAACCTAGACATCAGATGAATGTAATATAAATATCTGGGAAAAACAAAGCTTGAAGTCAATTCTCCTATATAACTTTGTTATGAACAGCATCATTGACTCAAAGTTTATTGAGGAATTATTTTGAGGTATTTATTCCACTTATTTCAGCAGTCTAATTGTAGTTTTGTAATAGGAAGGAAATTTGATCGTGGATACGAAAACTAGATAAAGTCATGTTGGATTGTTTTACTGCATGGGATGGGGCCGAGGTCGGCTCCAGAACTATCCATTGGCGCCATTTGTGTCAGCATGACAGACTGTACACGTACGTTGAGTAAGACATTGAAAACTGTTTGAAAACCAGTTGCTTCTTTATTTCAGATCAAGAATACTCCTTGTACAGAATGTTGGCCAGCGTCTTCAAATGGTAGCAACGGATCGTTCATGGAATTTGAGTGTGAATTCACTTAAATGGTCTGGAGTCCAGCTTCATTTCAGTTAAAATGTAGGGTTGTTCGACCTCGACCAGGAGGTAAATAGGAGTTTAGGCTCAACAGCAGAATCCCAGAAAGGGAAAGTATGTGAAAAAGAAAAGAATATTAATGTTTTTATGTATTTATAAACTACTTCGCTACTACGGGGTGCCACCGACAATAATGCATCTCATCCAACAGCTATACGACAATGCTGCATGCCAAGTAATCCACAATGGGAAACTTACGGAACCCTTCGAAGTGAGGACAGGAGTAACACAAGCTGGCTGCCTACTATCGCCAATGATATTCTTGATTGCAGTAGACTGGATAATGCGACAAACAGTGGGCAATGAGAAAACAGGCATAAAATGGACTCACACAAAATACTTGGAGGATCTCGACTTCGCCGATGATATATGTCTGATTTCCCACAAACTGGAAGATATGCAAGCGAAAAGCAACAAGTTGGCAGAAGAAGCATCCGGAGAAGATAGGACTTCAGGTGAACATAGAGAAAACAGAGGTGATGAAAATTCCTGGGCAACACCACCAACAGCAACAACAACAACTGACAACAATCAGCATAAATGGGAGGAACCTGAAAGAAACAACCTCCTTTACCTACCTGGGAAGCATCGTTTCAACTACAGGCGGAACTGACGAAGATATCAAAGCAAGGATCGGGAAAGCAAGACAAGCTTTCACTACTCTCAAGTCTGTGTGGAGGTCAACAACACTCAGCATCAAAAATAAGATCCGGATTTTCAACTCCAATGTTGAGTCAGTCAGTGCTACTATACGGATCAGAGACTTGCACTGCGCGTCATAAAGAGCATCTCCAACAAACTACAGAACTTCATTAACAGTTGTCTTCGCTCAATACTTCGCTCAAGATCAGATGGCCGGTCAGAAAAGATCAGCAACAGAGATCTCTAGCAATGAGCGAACCAACCAGGAACCGATTGTGAAACAAATAGGCAGGAAGAAATGGAGATGGAT